AAACTCACTGAATTGTACACTTTAAGATCTGTGCATTTTTTTGTATATAAAATATATCTTGTTTTTAAAACTTGTGTTTCTGCATTGGCCAGAAAGATCAAAGCATGATCTATCTTTTATGCATTGTGCTTTTATTTTTAGGACCATTGGGAAGAAATCTAAAGCTTAGTGTATGCTTCTAGTCAGAGATGTCACCAATATCTTAACACACGATCCTCCTTCTTCTAGTTTTTCTACAAAGGGAATGAAAACATCAAACGCTGCTGCTCCAATGAATAATTTATACAACTGCCTGGCACTGTTCTGGCTTTTTATATTCATTAGTTGATTTAAATCCTACTTTTAAAAAATGTGCAGCAGGAATATTTAACACATGAGAATCTAGGTCCAAAAAGGTCAAGTAACTTGCCCAAGATAACACGGCCAAGGAGTGATGTCACCAGGACCTAAACCCAGATCCCAAGCCCACATGCTTTTCTTTCCCAGTAAACACACACACACACACAACTTGTGTATATGTATGCACACATATACATGAAATATCCAAATCACTATTCATAGATTTCCCATTCTTTTATCATGAATCTGTGATAACATTCTTTCTGTGATATTTGAAAATAAATAAACAAAGCCTTTAGAAAGGGCTCTAGAGCACATGGAAAGTTTTAAACCATTGCCTGATTGACCACACCTGGCTCTCATTCTCAAGCCCCTGTTTGCTTTGGAACCTCGGGACTGGAATAATCTACCCAAGAGTAAACCAAGGAAACCGCAGAGTGTTCATAGCTCCTGCCAAAGGGCAAAAGGGGAGTTGCTTTCACTTTGTTTAGGTGTTAAAACATAATTTGCTATTATCCTGCACACTGGAGTGTTGTCAGCATCTTTAGAAGGGAAGTAGACACATTGATTACATTTTCAAATTAAAATTTGGAAACAATTAGCAGAGGGAAGAGAGAATGAGTTTTATTGTGTATAACTACTGGCTGTTCTTTCAAGTCATGTTCCCTTAGGATATGCTTTGTTATTGATTTTTTTGGTCTTTTTAGTGGTTTTTTTTTTTTGGAGACAGAGTTTCACTCTGTTGCCCAGGCTAGAGTGCAGTGGCGTCACCATAGCTCACTACGACCTCAATCTCCTGGGCTCAAGAAAGCCTCCTGCCTCAGCCTCCCAAGTAGCTGGGACTACAGGCATGCGCCACCACACCCAGCTAATTTTTTTTTTTCTATTTTTAGTCACCTGGTTAAATTTTTTCTATTTTTAGTAGAGACAGGGTCTCGCTCTTGCTCAGGCTGGTCTTGAACTCCTGACCTCAGGCGATTCTCTGACCTCAGCCTCCCAGAGTGCTAGGATTACAAGTATGAACCACCACACCTGGCCTTTATTAGTGGTTTTTAAAATTTCTAAATACCGAAGTTTATACCAAAGCCAAGATTATTTAATTCTGATGTGTCAGAACCCACCCAAAAATGCCAGAAAAATTCGAGTGATGTTCATGTATGTAGTGAGATTAATATTCCACAAAAATGCATCATTTGAGTAATGTCAAAATAGTTCACTTAAACTTTTTCCTGGCAAAACATAAAACATCTATGAAAAAGAATGATGTCGTGTAGGTACCAAGACAAACAAGCTGAATAGCTGCTAATGTTTCTAGATGAGCAGTCAATTAACTGATGAAGAAAAAGAAAAAAAAATTATCACTATTGAAAAAGCAGGCTTCTAGTCCAATATGTTTCCATAATACTAATACTCTAAATGTCATTTGGCATTATCCACAGAAAGCCCTTACATATTCCGTCAACAAAATTGGAAGTTGGTTTCCAATTTGCTTTTAAGCCCTAATCCTATTTTCGCTAGAAAGTAGTTTGTACGTTCAAGAGCTCAGGACAATAATTCCCTTGGAGAAAATTTACTTCTGTGGCTGGCTTATCATTGTAGCTACAAACCATCTTGGTGTCAGCTGGAAGCCACAGAATTTCATTCTTCTTTTCGACTTCTGGAGCAAGGAAATAATAAAAGTGTCTCCCTAGATCTTACAACCTTCTGAGTTTTAGTGAATACGACTCCCAGGACTGCAAATAGTCTTATAAATCTTGCCTTCCCTAAAAGTATAACTTTTCATTTTGCTTAGATATTAGCAATAAAAGTACTATGTGTAAATATTCTTAAGATTTGGGCAAAGGATTTAAAACACCCAGTCTCTCTGGACAGATGGCTTTTCATATGATTAAAAGTGGAGAAGGAATTCCAAGTGCGTGCCAAGAAGAAGGAGGAAAAATGCAGGATAATGGAGGTGGGACAGAATCATAAAGGAAAATGTTAACTTTTGAAACATAATTTTTGTTCCGCAGGCAATTTCAAATTGGGTGATTGAAGCCGAAGTGTTTTTTGACTTTGGTTCTCCCTAGGGAAAAATGCACAGCAGCAAAGGATAATGGAAGGGGCTGGGGAATTTGGATACAGAAGTCTGGGTTTTCAGTCCTGATTTAACAACCCCTAGCCAAGAAACATAATAACAACAAATTGATAATAGTAACAGCCAACAGCTATTGAAACATGGGGTGTGGCAGACTGTTTCAAGTGTTTTATGTGTATTAACTCATTCAATTCTATGAGGCAGTGAAGTGTTTTAAAGGATAGGTTCTGGAGCCACGCTGCTTGGGTTTAAAAACTCTCTCTCCCATTTGCTAGCTATACCATCCCTGGGCAAATTCCTCTTCTGTATAATGATCCTGCAATGGTGCCTACCTCCTAGGTTGCTTCTGAAAATGAATGAGTTAACACTAAGGTTAAGCACTTAGAAGAGTGTTTGGCGCAAAGTAGGTACTTAATTGTTTGCCATTCTTATTCTCATTTTACAGTTAGGAAACTGAGGCACAGAAAGTCTGTTTGCTAAAGATGCAGTCATCCAACTAATGAACCTATAATATCTGGTACTTTATAAATATTTCATACATGATAGGTATTTTTTATTCTATATTAAAGAGATCACTGCAAAAACAACTCTCCCTTTGTAACTCAAAATTGTACTTTGCTTAAACTGATCATAAAAAGCTCCAAGTGTAGATTTCTTTTTTTTTTTAAGGGGTGGGGGGTTGTGAGCAGGGGTGTTCAGTTGCCTTGTTTTTTGGGTTTTTTTGTTGTTGTTGAGACAGAGTCTCACTCTGTCACCCAGGGTAGAGTGCAGTGGCATCATTGTAGCTCAATGCAACTTCCAGCTCCTGGGCTCAAGTGATCCTTCTGCCTCAACCTCCTGGGTAGCTGGGACTACAGGTGCATGCCGCAACGCCCAGCTGGGTTTTTTTTTTCTTTCTTTTTAGTAGAGACGGGGTCTCGCTCTTGCTCAGGCTGGTCTCAAACTCCTGAGCTCAAGTGATCCTCCCGCCTTGGCCTCCCAGAGTGCTAGGATTACAGGCATGAGCCACCACCGTACTGGGCCCGG